GTTAACCCATCGGATACCAACCGTTGGATTGATGGTTTACATTGTCCTGATCTTCCCCATGAATTTTGGTTAAGTTTTGCTGACAGGATCTCCCAGATCGTGCTAGAAAAGCACTACAATTTTGGGCACTTACAAGAGACATAATCCCAACCATTGATCTAAAGCAACGACTGTGATTATATCTTGTGATTTTGGAGGCCATTTAATCATATCTGTTTGATTGATGATTGTACGATCGTACTTAATTCTGCATTACCCAGCCAGCCGCCAATGATTAGCTGTAATTAGGAGGCGCCCATATGGAAAGTGTATATGACTGGGAAATTATGGGATTTAAAAAAAAAACTAGAAATCATGGGAAACTTCAAAAATTAATCTCCGTCGACACTTGACCAATTTAGGTGTTCTTAGGCTCTTTGGAAAGTTCTAAGGGAGATCTTCAAAAGCCTTATGGTCTCAAGCCACAATTATCCCTGTGTTAATATCAATTTCAATTTGAACATTAATAGTATTATAACATTTATATGTAAATTTGATGTCACCATGCATGAGACTTTGGGTGGTTAAATTTGGAACCTATAAAATTTGGTCAAACTCAAATCCATTCAACTCTAATTAAAAACTAGTTTTTTCTAAAAATGCCAAACCTATAAAATTTGGTCAAAGTCAAAAAAACAACTCTGTGATCAATTGTAATTCAAAACTAGTTCAACACTTCCAAAAATCATAACTTAATATAAAAAATTTTAAAATTGGAAAACACACAATCTAATTATTCATTTTAAGGTCTAATATTTAAGAAAAATATCAAAACCCAAAACCAACCTTAATTTTAAAAAGTTAACTTTTAATCGCTTAATTAACACATTAAAATAATCTAAATAATTCCAAAGTCCAAAAATTCATTCAAAATTCCAAAAAATAATACATAAATTATTCAAACCAATAATTAACATACTTAATTAAAATTCATTAATCCTTAATTTTTAACCAATTAAATTAGCTTAATCAACCCCGATTACTATTAGTTAGCCTAGGCCTACGATACTTTAATTTAGTTACAAGGAAGATAAAATAATCTTCACGGTCTTAGTTAACAAAAAAGGTAGTAATAATTTAACAATTACAATATACTATAATTAAGCCTTAATATATTAAGATTTAAACTCTAATCAAATTTCTTCCTTCAACATTTAACAAACCCGAACACTGTATAACTTCAACAAACTACCCACCTTAGGATCTATCCTAGCCACATAGCCTCTAGTATATAATTTAGATGGTTTGCTAAGACAACCAACTCTAGCTTAGGCTAGACATATGTTTAATTTTTTACTACAGTGTGCTAGGTTTTTTAAGTTTTCATTACATGTTGTGATTGAAAACTGATTGATGTGAGTGTTTATATACTTTAACTACAATATATGAATTAATGTGATGCACAATAGTTTACCCTTAGATTAGGACATATCTATTTGCTTACTGAGTTTTCTACTAAAGGTCACACTTGTATAGAGCAATAAACAGGGGGCTAAATTAATGGTTATTATAATTGCTATAGGTGCTTCAACTCCTTAGCTCTCAAATAAATAAGAGCGTGGCCTAGTGTGATTTATTTTAACTACTTATGTATAAACTACTTGTGATTGATTTGATTTTAAATGCTTAGGATAACCATGTAGGATGGTCTAGATTTTTTTAAATTTTAATATCAATGTAATTTGTTTAAAAGTTAGGAGTTGAGAAAATTAGATATTTGAGTCGATATTCATCTATCCAAAACTGGATTCCAATGAGGAAAGGACACCCTTTAGGGGGATATTCCGTTTCCATTTGGAAGCCCAATTTTTGATAATTTTAATATCCAAAATGAAAAGAATAACATTCCCTTCGAGGGACAGGTTTTCTTTTTCATTTGTACATTAAAGTATGATGAATCTAATGAGCCCGAAGAGAAGAAGGACGACGAAAAGTTAAAGATAAAAATTATCCCACTCAAAGTCACTTGCGTCTGTCCTAAGCTTAAAATGAGGGTTTATAGTTAGTGGTGCACAATTACTTTTAATTTATGTAATTTCTGGGTTGTAGAAAATAGGGAGTTTACTTATGAATATTTATTTAATTGATTCAATTTATTAATGTGTTTGATTTAATATGATTGTGTATAGGGTTGCTCGCTTTTTCTTAATTTTTAGCATTTTGCATGTCAAGTTTTATTTTATCTTGGATTTGATTGGAGACTCGTGAGGGCACACATAAAATTTTTCTATTCAAAATTTAAATTTTTAAAAAATTTTAGGCTAACATAGATACTCTAATGATCTAAGAAGTAAGCTCGGGACCACTAGGAGTCTGCATAATCATATGAATTCCTTTTCTTCTTTGTTAGGCACTAGAGGTGTCAATTTCGGGTCATGGGTGGGGTTTGGGTCGAACACGAAACTGACCTAACACTATTCGGGTTGGGGTCGACCTAACCAATTTTTATAATTGGGTCGATTTTCTAGACCCAAACTCGACCCGTTGGGTTTGGGTCAACCCGACCTGACCCGTGGACACGACAACGCCGATAGCGACAGGTCGGCAACAACAGTCGGCCGACGACCGGCGGTAGTGGAAGCCTATGGAAGTGGTTGATGACTGAGATAGAACTCAAGCAAGACATGAGTTACGCGACGCTATACATAATACAACGCTGGCCTCAAGACACGAAGTGGTGCGACGCGACCGGGCAGGCGGGGTAGCTGAGGCAAGCGGGGCAGCCGAGGTAGGCAGGGTAGGCAGGCAAACTCAGGAGATGGGTTTCTTGGTCATTCCGGGCCATTCCCGGGTTCCCGGGTCAACCTAAACCCGACCCGCTTTGGGTGGGTCAGCCCAAACTAGAAATTTTTGGTCGGGTTCAGGTCAGATTTTTGGGCCAGGTCCAATATTGACACCCCTATTAGGCACCTACCCGCCTACGCGTTCTGACAGATCACCTAGTCTTTGAGGGTGTAGATCTCTCAAGGGGATGTTCTGCAATCTCTAGGAGAAAATAATTTTCAAGCTTTTTAAAAACTACTATATAATCATTTTATTCATTTAATCTAGTCGATTAATATGAATTGTATTAAAAACTAATTAAACGAGTCTAAAATTTTAATTACATTTTATTCGAGCATTTTCACCCTACATCAGTTAAGGGGCCAATTAAGATCTGCTCTAGATATTGGTCCCAAGTTTCAAAATTACAACAACGACATCCCTACCACTCTTTCATTAATGAATAGACTCATGGATTTTAATCGACTAGGTGAATTAGCTGACTCCCCAATCCAGGCTGGAGTAAGTCTAGATTTTGTATTACATTGGTAATATTTGGGCCATTGTGGTCCAGTGCCCAATTTAGATTTAGGATCCACGACATATTTTGAATTATAAGATCACAATATCCGGGAATGTAATTCCAAATTTTTAATAATACGATCAACTCAAATTAAAAAAAATTCTCTCATCTGAAATTTAAAACCCAATACTTAGATTTGGTCAGGATATTTATGAATTTTTCCAAAATCTCAAAGTTTCTCCTGCCCGTCCTCCACTTACTCTGAAAATAAGTATTCAAGATTTGATCCAATCCCCATTAAAATTATAAAATTCAAATCCTTTGATATCACTCCTAGAAAATTTCTATTTTAATCGAGAGTATTCATAGGAGACATCGGTTTCCTAGGATGTAATTAATTACGAGGGCTTGCACATGTAGGAGATTTAGAACTCACATCCACTTTTTTAAAAATTAATTTTCAAAACTCAATTAGTCTCCTTTGGAAAAATCGAAATCAACAACGTTCATATCATCATATTCAGACGATCGATTAGTAAATGATATTTTCTTTTCTTGGAAAGATATATTGTTTATTAAGATCCTGAATATGAAATTAATGATATCCCATCTAGACTATTATAGTTAAATGCTTGATAGAACGTCATATTAACCCTTTGGGGTTACATGCCATCTTTCCTTGAATTTGGCTATTATAGTCAGAATGAAATATTCAGTTCCATTATCTGAACTCATTAAAGAATGATATCTTCGCCTCCTGGGACGATATAACGTTCGTAATGATGTGTTCAATTTTGAGACTGAAATCCTGAATTAAAATTAAAAAAAACCTAGGCTTATCAAAAATCTCTTTTCAACAAACATACATTTAATGCACGATCAAACCTTCTTCAAATCTTCTTCAAACATTTTTTTTTAAATGTTTTTGACCCATCTTCAAGATAATTTGATCAAGATTGAATGAGGGTCGAAGAAGATTCCATAATGGTTAGAAGGAGGTTTGAAGAAAATTTGATCATGCATCTAAGATGGTTCAAAGATTACTTTATTGTTAGTTAAAGATAGTTCAAATAAGTATCGTAAATGGATTGATCATTTAAAAATAAAAGAGAGAATAATGCTTAAATAATATAAATTAATGATTCAAATATTATTTTTATTATTTTATTTTGATTTAACTATAGTTCAAAGATGAACATGATAGTAAGATAGGAAAAATAATTAAGTTTTTAGAATGCAAAGTCTTGTTTCAATCATGAATCATAAAGCAAAAAAAATTCATTATTACCTACGTCAAAAACATTTACATAACCGCATGCATTTAAACGTTAGATTATTGAGTGATAATGTTAGGTACAATATATAACACTAATTTTAATTTTTTTTTATTTCCATTAAATTCTTAATAATTTTATAATAGCAAACACAAAATATATAGGTAAATCGTTTTGAAAACTTAAAACATAATTTAATAAATATATTTTTTGAATTATTTGCGTATATATCCTTAATAGCTGCTATTTTGTGTAAATAATTTATACCAAATAATTTTTTTTTTGATCGAGTAAAATTATCGAGCCCTTAAGAGCAAATTAAAGATTAATAAATACTTGAAGGGAGTTTAAAAACAAAAAAACCTTCCACAATATGCCCTTACTGTCTCCTCCCGCTCTGTCTGTATTATTTTACCATTCCACTCGTCCTCTTTTCTTACTCTTTCACTCTTTCTCTCTCCACCCCTCTGTGAATTCTCTCTCAGGCTCAACATTTTACCATGGGAAAAGAATTAGAAGAAGCCATTGCTTATAGATCGCATGAGCTGGGGCTCTGCATTGGCCTGCTCTTTGTTTTTTGTCCATAATGGTTCTGTGGCTTGAACTCCAGCTTTACCGACATTGGTTGGTATGATTTTGTCTACATTGGAGAGTTCATCTCTTGCTCCATCCGGTTTATTTCGCTTAGTCCATTGAAAATATTTTCTATCGCTATGCGCGTCTCTCTCTCTTACTATACATGTAAAGTAGCCTGGCTACTTTGCCCTAGCTTGTGAAGAGCACGAAAGAACCCCAATGGGTCGGTGGTGGAAGTTTGTTTCTCGGGTTCTCTTCCTCGGACTTATTCTTTTTCTGTGGATTCATGGATTCAAAGGTAAAGGCAATTTGGAAATTATTTTTTCATTCGTCACCCTAAGTTCTTTGTTGTTGTGGTTTTTACCTCTGCATTGCGATATGGCTATTATTAAACTTAGGTCAAGCTATGAAGCTTGAAGCACCTGCAGTTGAAATTTGCCATCGCTTTACCTTTAAATAAAAAAGATTTTTTCCCCCGATAAATCTGGATCGTACGTGCGATTTACTGAATAATGTCATCGTCTGTTGTTGGTTTGATTAGCCAAATTTGAAGTTTTAGTGAAACTGTGGGGAGGCAAGAAACAGGCTGTATTTAAGTGCGGGGTAGAGAGCATTCCTATGATTTGCTAAGCTACGGGTTTTATAAATTTCTGAATAAAATTGTCTGTTGGCTTCTTTGTTGATTGGTTGAATGGCATCTTATTTCTAATTAGCTGATTTCTTGGTCTTGTTTGGTTTCTTTCATTTAAAATCACTGTCCATAGTATTTTATTTTATTTTTGCAAATTTAGTCGTATTTGATAGAGTGCTTCTAAGCTAGCTGCTAGTTTGAATTATGATATAAATATAAATATCTCCCATAATTTTCTATCCCGTTAAGGAGCTTTAACTCTATGAATAAAAAGGCAAAATTATCAATCACATGGTGCCTTTGTTTGATAAAACTTCTCTTCTTCTTTATCTGTATACGATTGAATCCTTTTTTACCTGAAGGAAAACATATATCCGCTTGCCTAAAATCATTGCAGCATTTTACAATTACATTTCCGTGCAATGGTATTATAATGCAACTTCAGTAAGTTCTTCTTCTCAAGGACACTCTTTTCCTGCTCTTGGCACCAAATCTATGGAATGCATAGATGATAAGATGAAGCATTCAGCACTAGCATTGGGGCATTATTCTCTTAAATTGAGGGTGCTTTAAGCATTAAGGAAGGGTGCTTTAAGCATTAAGGAAGTCTTCTATCAAAGATAATGATTTGATGACCATAGCCATGCTATGGCGAATGTGGTGTCCTTGTTGAGATATATTTGACCAATGCACTCCTCAAGCATTTTGGAATATTGATAGCTCTTGATCTAGCAATGGTAGCTTATGTAATGATTTTAATTTTTACAAAATATTACATAGGAGTTAAGCTGACAGCAGATTAGTGACTAAAACAAATTATTAAAGCATCTAATTTCAAGGTGAGTACTTATATTTTTAATTATAGTAATGACATTTGTTTCTCTTACACATGATATATTAATTTTTGTTATTATTTAATCACTCATTATTAAAGTTGATTTCTTTTTATTAAAGATAAATGATCATGTTATTATTTAATTGCTCAATTCATTACAATTCATTAAATACAATAATATGTCTTTTGTTATATATTATGATGATATTCATTATAAATTCAATGTTACATAATACAGAGAATGAAAATGATATGATTGATATAGAATGTTTGCAGGTGCATGTTGAAAGATGAAGCCACCCCCTTATGATATTGGATGGGGACGCTGTACCCGTGTACGTTAAAAGGAAAATGATATTGAAAAGAAAAATGAAATGGAAATGGTAAAGGTGTACCTTCATTGATACTAAATTAGACGGTAACTCCTGTGATGGTTCTACTATATATAAAAATGAGAAAGATATGATTACAGATATGACGAATGTAAATTGAATATGATATGATATGTATTTATGATTTATGCATAATGTTATACATTTAAAGTCTTTATGAAATAAATAATATGTTTAAATGAAATAAAATTTAAGATATTAAATGAAGAGTGTCATTAAACATATTTTTTCTACTGTCTTGAGTTACTGTATTCTAGAAGCATGTGATACTCGTTAAGCTTTGGCTTATTTTAGTTGCTGCAACAATTTTTCAGGTGTAACTTAATCAAAATGAGAAGAAGAAATAAAAATGCATATCGTAGACGTCATGCAACCAACGAGAGGTATTGACTATTTAATTTAATTTGTTTCAAATTTGAAGTTTTAGATTACTCTTTCAATGTACTGGAAATAGATTTAGAAATTGAGATTATGATTTTATCGTCCGATCGTCTGTTCCCTCCTCGTTAATTCGAGCCCCCGGGTTGGATCATGACAAGAATGTTATCAGAGTGCAAGGAGTATCTTAGGAATGCGAATCATAATGAAAGAGTCATAGGAATGATTTATGTACTTATTTGAGAATTTAAATATTCGATTAGATAAGATAATTAATTAATTTATAATTTTGTTAGGTATGCGAATGATCAAGAGGAAGTAACTTATAAAGATATGGAAGGAGAAGAACTATCACTTGAAATAACTGTCGACACCAATACCCTTACCTAGATGATGGTGGTTATGACTCAAATGCTTTAGGAATCAAGATCACAGCTTGGAATTGGAATAGATAAATATCTGAAGTTGTTTCAAAACATGTGACCACCACTATTCAAGGGAAATGAATGACCAATTGAGGCAAAAAATTGGTTACTTCGTGTCGAAAAGATTCTTAGTAGCATGTCATGTCCTGATGAAAGGATGGTATAATTCGCTACATTTGTGTTGGACGGAGAATCATAAAGGTGGTGAAGAGGACAACGTGAAGACATGTTAGGAGATATTCCGAATACATCAGTTAATTGAGAAGACTTTATATAATAGTTTAGAGAATGGTTTGTACCTATGTCATCAAGGAGACAAATGCAAGACAAATTTATAAGATTGATTCAAGGAGATAAATCAGTGATGCAATATGAAGCATAATTTATAACTTTATCAAGATATGCATCGTAGTTGATTGGAATAACAGAGGATAAATATTATAGATTCCTATCTGGTCTAAAAGATGCAATTAAACAACCTTTAATACCTTTAGGAATTGAGGATTATTCAGTGTTGGTGGAAAGAGCTAGGAGGGTGGAGATTGATTTTCAAATCACTCAGAAGAGAAGTGATCAACATAAAAGGAAGAGTGTTGAAGAAGATATCCAAAGCAATCTGATTGAAGGATCAAATGGGAAGAAACCCAAGCTTAGTCCTAGTAGAATCAGTAGTGCACAGTAAAGTCACGGAACTTTGTGCTAAGTGTGGCAGATTGCATAAAAGTGAATGTCTGATTTATTTCAACACTTGCTATTGATGTTATCAGCCTGAACACATAGCAAAATATTATCCTAAGTTAGGTCAAAGGAATTCTGGAGATGAAATTAGGAGAAGCACCTTCACAAAAGAATTTTGGCAAACAAAGATGATAGAACCATCAGTTGCAGCTTTAATACAAAATCAATCAAGACAGAATGTTAGACCACATGTTTATACTTTGACTCAACAGGAGCCCAATGAATCCACAAATGTTGTTAAGATAGTTGAGATGGTTGTATTATCTAATATAGTGACTTGTTATGTTATATCAGATATTTTGGATTTAGCAGGTTATCTTGTTATGTTATATCAGATATTTTGAGTTTATCAGGTTATTTTCTTATGTTGTATTAGATGTTTAGTTTATTCAGTTATAATGTTGAAATTTATGTTAAATAAAATGGAAGATGTTGTTTGATTATGTAACTAGAAGTTGTATTTAAATTTTGAGGACGAAAGTTTTATTAGGAGGGGAGAATTATAAAACCCGAGAATGTCAATTTTAGGCATCGCACGCATTTCGATGCGTCACGACAATTTTTTTTTTGAAGTTATCAAATTTCGACGAAAATAATTTTATAAAATAGTACATTAAATTTTGATCAAAACGATATAAAGGACTTATAGTAAAATTCGCACGGAATCAAAATTAAAAATCGTTAGAGGTTATTAATATAAAAGAATTACTTAATAGTCCATGAAAGCCTTAAGGAAATTGTTTTCAAGCAAGGGCACATGCGTAAAATGGCGTAACATCTTCCAATAAGATCTCATGAGCATAAGGGATCGAATTCTATTCTGTCCCTTCTTCGTTCTTTCGGTTGCACATGAGAGAGGCGGGGAAAGGGCGACGGATGCAAGGGAGACGACGACAGTGGTTTCTGGTGGTGCTTTAGGGAGAAATCGAAGGGGAAGGCTTAGGGAGGAAGAAGGTAAGTTCCTAAACAAATATTTCATTCTTTTCGCTTAGTTTTCTTAAGATGAAAATTTTAGGGTTTATCCAAAACTTCATATTTTTTAGAAATAATGTTAGGGAAAGTTTAGAGAAGGTTTCTAACCATGAAAATGTAATTTCCTCAAAAAATTTTCAGTGTTTCAAAAATTAGGATTTTTCTAAATGTTGATTTTTATGAAAATTTCTTAAGAAATATTATTTCTAGGGTCTTAGGAAGGTTCTATTGGTGAAAATTTGAGATTTTTCGCAAAACATGTTTCTTCCTAATTTTTAATTAAATTAAATCCGAAAATTGAAAGTCCTAGTTATTTACTATGTTTAAAATTGCGCAACAAGGCGCGCCTCTGCGCAATTCTTCCCAAAGGCGCCTCGAGGCGCATGCAATTTGGACCCTGGTCGAGGTGTACGCCTCACCCTGTGTGAGGCGCGTCTCAATTGCGCAATTATGCGTGAGGCGTACGCCTCTTCCAAATGGTCCCACCTACTTAAAATGAGCATTTTTTTCCCTTATACCCGATCGGCTCCAGGCATATCCCGATAATTCCCTGCCCGCAAGCTCCAGGTCGCGAAACCGAGAGACTCCCGCACGGTCGGCCACCCTTCCCGCCGCCTCTTCCGCCGGCGCCGCCTTTCTCCGGCGAACTTGAAGTGTCCGGCCGCCTTGTAGGAGAAGTCCACAAACGATTTTAGGTTTGTAGTTTTTGGTTAGATTTTTCAAGTGAAAGAAATTCTAGGGTTTTTGATTTTTTGAATTATTTTGTGTAATTTTGGATTATTTCATTAGCGATCATGGTTAGAGGCAAGGAAAAGGGGTCTTCGTCATTGCGGAGGTACCCTTCTTGGAAATATAGTGTACAAGGTTACATAGGTGGCGAAGAGAAGAGCTATGTTTATTTGAAATGCAATTTTTTCAAAAAAGTGGTGAAGGGAGGTGTTACCTGCATGAAGGAACACTTATCATGCTCGCATAAAAACGTAGCACCGTGTGCAAATGTGCCGGAAAAGGTGAAGGAGGAAATTATTGCTTATATGAAGAAAAGTACCACGGCAAAACACTTGCAACAGGAGCAATTTGATGATAGGGTCGAACATGGCGCTTACTTTGGGAGCAAGAGTGGAAAGGGCTCTTCCTCCATTATACATAACAGAGGTGCACGGGGTCCTATGGATCAGTATATGACTAATCCAGAAGAGGATAGAGGACAAGAACAAATGATGCCTGCGGCTGGTACTAGAGAGGGTCGACGCCAGGTTTGCATGGATATTGGGAGGTTTCTTTTTTTTTTTTGAAAATGCCATACCTTTTAATGTTGCTACGTCGCCTGCCTACTTCAATATGCTGCGGTCTGTAGGGTTGTATGGGAGAGGGTTGAAGGCACCTTCTATATATGAGTTGCGAACATGAATTTTAAAGGAGCTGCTGAACACAGAGCGTAGCATTGATGAGATTAAAAGGACATGGATTGAGACTGGTGTAACCATTATGTCAGATGGATGGTCTGACATGAAGAGCAGGAGCTTGATTAACATCCTTGTCAACAATCCACTAGCTCTGCAGCACAACAATCAAGTAAAGGTATTCCACAACTTCTTATATGCTATCGCATTATATTTATATCAAGTGAACAATTAACATGATAATGATCTTCTCTCTTATTGAACATGGAAGAGAAAAGTGAGTCATATTGAAGATGATGATGATATGACATTCATAGATATAATTGGAGAAGAAGATTCCCTTGAAGACCCATTTAGTATGTGATATGATTGCATTTTATATGTTCTTTATACTTTGGGAGTTTTCTTAAACTAATATTTTGTGATTTTGTATTTTGGGACATGATTTTATTGCATCTATTTTGTTACTTTCCAATATTTTGATATATCATTTAGATGTTTTTATTGTAAGATAGAATATTGCTATTATTATTCTGCTAAAACCCTTAATTTCTCATTTACGCAATTCTGTGTCCGTGAGGCTTACGCCTCGCCTCACGGACAAAAACCGCCTCGAGGCTTAATTATGCAATTTTAAACCTTGGTTATTTATTTAAATGATTGGGAAGGTTTGACAAGTTAATATAAAGAGATTAATGAAAATTTGGTTTCCAAATTTATGGGCTTTAGGTTAAATCCGAAAATTAAGTTTATTTTAAATTAATTTAGGCATTGGTGAATGTTTAATTTGATAAATAATGGATTTAGATTAAAATATGAATTTTTAAAAATTTAGGTTTATTTATATCAAAAAATAATAATATTAAAATAGTTAATTGGAGAGAAAGAAAGAGGGAAGATAATTTATAATTAAGATTTTTCATTATTAAAATATTGATATTTATGTAATGATTTTAATTTTTACAGAATATTATATAGGAGTTAAGCCCGCGGCAAGTTAGTGACTAAAATAAATTATTAAGGCATCTGATTTCAAGGTGAGTACTCATGTTTTTAATTACAATAATGACATTTGTTTCTTTTACACATGATGCATTAATTATTTATTATTTAATCACTCATTGTTAAATTTGATTTCTCTTTCTTAAAGATAAATGATCATGTTATTATTTAATTGCTCAATTCATTAAATATAATAATATTTCTTTTATTATATATTATTATAATATTTATTATAAATTCAATGTTATATAATACAGAGAAAATAAATGATATGATTGATATAGAATGTTTGTATATGCATGTTTAAAGATGGAGCTCGTCTCCTTATGGTACTGGCTGGGGATGCTGTACCCGTGCACCTTAAAAGGAAAAGATTATGGAAAAGGAAAAGGAAATGAAAATGGTAAAGGAGTACTTTCATTGGTACTAAATTAGACGGTGGCTCCTGGACGGTTATACTATTTATAAAATGAGAAATATATGATATGACGAATGTAAATTGAATATGATATAATATGTATTTATGATTTATGCATAATGTTATACATTTAAAGTCTTTATAAATTAAACGATATATTTAAATGAAATAAAGTTTAAGATGTGGAATGAATAGTGACATCAAACATATTTCTTCTACTGCCTTGAGTTACTGTAGTTTAGAAGCATGTGACTCGTTAAGCTTTGGCTTACTTTGAGTATTGTAATAATTTTTTAGGTGTAACTTGATAATCAAAATGAGAAGAAGAAATGAAAATGTATACCATTTACGTCATGCAACCAACGAGAGATATTGACTGTTTTATTTAATTTATTTCAAATTTGACGTTTTAGTGGCTCTTTCAATGTATTGAAAATAGATTTAGAAAATGAGATTATAATTATACCGTCCGACCGTCTGTTCCCGCCTCGTTAATTCGAGCTCCCGGGTTAGGTCGTGACAGTAAGCATTGTCTATGAATGATTTTATGATTAATAACTATTGAAGTTTATATTTAATTTACCCCAAAATTTTGGATGCTTTGCCGTAAGCGTGGAATTCTATATATATTTATAACGAGTCTATTTCTGTTTATGTATGTTAAAAGTTTTAATATTTCTATATTTGTGTGATTGAAATTGTGTGAAAGAAGAAAATACTGGTGGCTGTTTATTGATGTTCATGTTCATCCAAGTTGACATATAAGGGTTTTATTTTGAATGAATGAATGAATGAATGGTGCTATGCATTGAGAGGCATAGGGGTCTTATATTGATGTGCCATATATTGGGAGTCATAAGGGCATGATATTAATGTTCTGTGCACAAAGAGTCATAAGGGTGTTTCTATATCTGTGAAATGTTGTTTGGTATAAGGGCTTGATGGGGAGACTGATATGATCTGATAGGATTGGATACTGATGTATTTTGCTTATTTCTGTTATCTGTAAATGTGTCATTTTGTTATCTGATTGAATTGTTATATTGACACTAAACTAAAAATAGCCAAACGTTTAATGTGTGAAACACTGTAGTTAGTAACACTATATTAAACCTTATGCTAAAAGTTTCTATACAAATAGTATGTTTTATTGTTTATGTGAAGATAGAATAATCTGTTTAATTACTATTTTGTTTATTATTAATAATTTGGGTAGTTTGCTTGTAGCCTATTGAGCCGTAGTTTGCTCATTCCTCTTTTTACTGCATGTGTTGATTTTGGGTCAAAGAAAGGGGTAGATTGAGTAGATTGACGTTGCAAATTTCAGGTGCTAGGTATGGTTTTTCTGTTCATGGATTTCTTTTTGGTAGTCATGGTGTATCTTTGATGAATATACGTTTATTCTGTGCCATAATTGCATTTCTGATGCATATTTTTGGACTATATAGTTTTTTTTGATGAGCGAAAAAATTTGATGTTATTTTCTGAAATAAAAACGATGATTTGTGGCTTTATGTTTCTGTTAACAAATGAAAGGAAAAGAAATTCCTTCCAAATAGATCTTAGGAATTATGTTACAATCTGACATGATGTGACCCTTTCGATATACGGGTTATATCGGGTTGAGTTGTGACACTACTAATGGCTAGGTGAGAGAAGGGAGGAAACCCTATATGGGATATTTTTGGACTGTATAGTTTTTGTGATGAGTGAAAAAAAAATTTGATGAGTTATATTTTGCAATTAAATTAATGATTAGTGGCTCTGTTTTCTTTTAATAAATGAAATGAAAAGAAATTCTTTCCAAATAGATATTGGCAAGTGTTCTATAGCGATCTGACACGATGTGACCCATTTGGTATATTGATTATGACGGATTGAGTTGTGACACTACCAATAGTAGCTGGTAGAAGGGCATAAGCCTTATTTGGGCCATTGACAAAAAATCATTTAACATGATAGTTGACTTAATTTTGATAAGAAGCATATACGTGGAAATTTCTCTTTATTTTTGCATTGTGATTGACATGTGGAATTAGGACTACCATTTTTATATGCCTTTTGAGTTGGAATTCATGTTTTGATTTTTACGATTCAAGAGAAATAATTCTCAAGATAGTGAAATTTTTTTGGCTTACGTTTGGATCTGACAGACTCTAAATAGGAGATTCTCTTGAAGGTTTGCATGTGTTGGAGATCTTGTTTATTCCTTTTTGGTATAACCTCGCCGTGGCTAGGGTTTCTTTGGTAGGTTGGTGGCTTCGTGTTGCATGAAAAAAAAAAAAGTTTCTTTGTGAGGTAATTCACTGTGTGAGATTAAGGGTTTTTTCTTCTTCTTTTAAGAGTGGGTGTACTGGAGATGTAAGAAGGGTTGGTGAGTGCTCTTGACTTGTACACAACAACTGTGGCTTTTGTGTTGATAGTGGATCATACATTTTATCCTCTCCCATGGGCACTCATTTGGTTGAAGCTGAATCGCATAAATTTCAGTGTGTTCGTGATTTTTTGTTCTCTTTCTCGTTTGTATTTGTTTGTGTTGCATCATTCTCAATGTCATTGAAATACTTAATAGTTCATAGATATAATCATGCTTCTTCATACCTTGAAGTACCCTAAAAAATTGTTACCGTATTTTTTATTGAAATACACCATTCTTTGCTTATTCTTTGTTTGACATGAATTGCAGGCCGTTCATTTTATGAATTGAAAAGAAAATTATCCGCTACATATAAGCCATTCTTTTATCAACCTCCAGATGTGAGTGAACGTCATGATCCCAAAAGAGTAGCTGCTGTTCCATCTCACCAACGAACATATAAGAGACCAAGAAATGTAGCCTTTTTGCCGCATCGTCATTTTCATCCTCTGCCAAACTCTCCAGGTTAGACTACTGAGCTAAATAAAACATTGTTTTTTGAATGCAAATTTGAATTGGTTTACATAATTTTCACCTTTGTTAACACTTCCCTTTTTTAGTCGTTGGTCCTGTGGTTGCTCCAGTTCCTTCTCTTTCTCAAGTGGCATTTCCACCTGATAGACTAAGGAATCATGGTTCACCATACCACAACAAAGGTAAAAATTTTTAGAGTAACCAGGAAGTGAGTGTGTATTACTCTACACGTAGAAAGAAAGATGGAACTGTTGTTTCTGTATTTAATCTTACATTTGACCAGGCATTTTTGCTCTTTTACTTGACCTTCATTTTCCAAGTACAGAGAGAAGTACTCTCCAAGACCTTATAAGGACACCAACTTTGCCTAACTGGAACAATATGCTGTTCTTTTTATGTTCAGTTTTGTTTTGTATTTTCTAAATTTATTTTTTTGGCAATGCGCGCAAGTATTTGTGTGGCGATGATGTGTCATGCTTGTAAACAGGACCAACCAGTTCTGCTCCTGCTCAAACTTCTAGCTCTTTCAAAGGGAAACGACAGCCATCTTTGCCACAACCTGTTCAAGCATTGCCACTTGCACCTCCTAATGTTGGTATGCTCATATTTAACTACTTATGTATTTAATTTAATTCTTCAAATAATGCTATTCATTTGACGAGGTATTAAGACTTAAAGTGTCCTGCAAAATATGATTAACTAATGACTATTTTGTTTGGGCAGGATGTATGCCGTTAACCTGCAGAAATCCTCTAACCAATAGCCCTGCAGGATCTCCATGTGCCTGTGTTTTGCCAATTAGAGTGGGGCTACAATTGGATGTTGCACCATACACATTCTTTCCCTTGGTCTCTCAACTTTCTCAGGAAATTGCATCAGGAGTTTTTATGAATCAAAATCAAGTACGTGTCATGGGAGCAAACGCTGCCAATGAGGAGCCTGACAAGACAATCATTTTCATTAATTTGGTTCCATATGGAATCCTGTTTGACAATACTACAGCACTTTTGATATATGAGAAGTTTTGGAACAAAAATTTTTTCATTAAAGACACAATTTTCAGGGATTATGACGTATTATATGTTCTCTATCCAGGTTAGACGACAACATGGTTGCTTCTATTTTTGCTTACTGTTGAAATATTTTTATAGAGATCCATCCTGTTGTTTGGTTACTGCAAGCTATGTTCTTTGACTTAGTAAACTCAGAATATTCCTTCTGTATCATATGTATGATCTCTCCTTCACCTTTTTTTTTTCTGGATCATCTGAGGTTGTTTTGCGCATGAGCATGAATTGAATGACATGAAAATTAATCAAGGCTCAAACCTGAAGTAAAATTGTAGCTAATCAATGCATTATTTAGAATACATGCGAATAATATGAGCTTACATTCAGTTATGATGCTAGTCTTCTCAGCTGTTTGGGTGTTTAAAGCAGGTCTTCCTTCATCTCCGCCAATGGCAGCTGGAAGATTTGGAATAAACAGCAATGGGAGAGCAATAAACCCTCTTGCAGTTGATATAAGAGAACTGAAGGAAAAACAACATAAGGAACTAAAGACTCTCGTCATTTTATCATCAGCCACAGCTCTTGTTCTGTTTGTTGGAGCTGTACTCTTTCTGTTCTTAAAATGCAGATATTATCAACATGCCACTGCTACTCAACAGAATTCATTAAACTCATTAGGTAAATTCTATCTTTTAATGTTAGGTGCCAGCTTATCCTTTTAATTTAATAGAGGACATCAAACTACCATGCTTTATTCCAATTGAAAGAAAAATAACTTGTAAGAAGTTACTTGTTTTGAATGTAAAATTGGAGTTACTGAGATTGTGGTATTAATTACTAATAAAAATGAAATTTATTTTAATGATACATTTTTCTAATGATGAGATCAGTCTATTGGCAGATATTGTTCTGTCAACTCTTTAGAACAAAATCCAGCTCATTTTATTCTACTAAAGCTATGTTTTTTCCTTACAAGTCACATTTCTGGAATTTATATTTGATAAAATGCAAAATTTTCTATACTAATTTTAAATGGTTGAAGAACAGAGCTAGCTAGATTACTTCAAAGCGAAGCTGCTTCAAATTGGGGAGCATATGTTTCATTATTTTCACATATTTAATTTTTAAAGGTCACATGAAAAAAGTTTTCTATAGTTGCATGAAATAAAGGTCAATTTAAGAAATGAAAGGAACAAATTCTTCAGACCTTATCTGACATTTACAGGATGCAATTAGTGTTCTAAACAAATAACTGAAGCTTCAGGACCAACATTACTATTATATCTGACATATCATTTCCTAGAAAAGTTCATTAATTGACAGTCCTTGTGTATGCCAAGCTCCCCATTCTAAATGTATTATGATATGGAAAGCCGCTGCTTGAACATTAGGATACCAAGAAATAGTTATGAAGTTCTTGATTTTAAAGTGCATTAAATTAAAGAGAAGACATAAGTTAATTACATTGTAGGATACAAATGTGAATGGATAGAACTGCTTAGTTTATATTTTAGAACCACCAAAATTGGTAAAGCAAACCTCAATGTTCATCTAATTATTAGTTCGAAAAACAAATTTATAAAATTTATGTAGATTTTCAAAACTAAGAAATGAATATAAAAATAATCCGTGTAACAATGGTAAATATCTTTTTGCTATTAGAAAACAGAGAAGAAAGGCTCAACCATCAAAATACAAAATACTTGTAAAAAGTAGACCTTATTTATAAATATACATTGAAGGTAATGACATGGTTGGAGTAGCTCCAGTGGATTAAGATTAGAGAGAGTCGCCTTAGATGGTTTAGTCACATAAAACGGCGGCCTTCCGATGACCCGATTAGAAGATTAGATGTAGATTTGACTTATGTTAAGAAAGGTAGAGGTAGACCTAAAAAGTCTTGGTTAGAAAATATTAGAAATTATCTTTTTTTATTAGATTTAAATGAAATTTTGATTCTTAACATAACACAATGGAGAAAAATGAATAATGTAGTTGACCCCACGTAGTGGGATAAATGCTTGATTTTGTTGTAATGAAGGTAATGACATGAATTGCACAAGTTTCTGTTTTTTTGTTTTGAATTTTTGTCTTGAAGACTAATCATTTGATGTTTTGAAGCCTACAGAAACCTTTGGCTTCCACTGCAACTATATATCAAACTTAGAGCCTACATCATTGAAGTTTCTGTGAGAGGTTCTCATTTAAGTGATTGGAAGGAAGATTGATGTGAGAGATTTCCAGATGATTATCTTAATACAACTTTTAGAAACCCTGAAAATCTTTATAATATTGATCGGTGAAAATGATAGGGAGCCTTTTCTAGTTGATTCAGTATTATAAATTTCATGATTAGTTTTTACAAAAGGGCTTTATTGGCACTTTGGATGGTTGCCAGTCCTTTTTATGTCGGGATCTTTAGTAACATTGTTTATTTCGTAATTAATTTTAGGTAACCCAAAAAATGGTTTAGCTAACCAACAGGGGCTGTGTACTCGTCCTAAATCAAGGTAAGGACTTAATCGATTACTCTTAGCCTTTTACCTGCAAAAAGTAGATTGTTCAGGTAGGTCTATTATAAGCTATCGACTATAAGTGGAAGTCAATTGCATTACTATCATTGGGTTTTGGTTGTTAATTAACCTCCATGAAGATCCTTATCGTTATTTGCTGATGGGACTTATTTTGGTTGAAAACTAATCTCCATGGGTGGGTATGTTATGCTAGATGATAATGGCCTCTCATTGCAAATCTTAGTGTAAGATCCTGAATCGATGCACTCGGTTCCGACGCTTGAAGATGAAGAAGACAAAGGAGACTGTAGGAGTTTCATTGCCTTGAGTCGCAAAGGAGATGAAGTATCATAACCCGATATAATACAACCTGTTACGTCTGGACGGGTTATATCGTGTCGAGGTCATGATATCGAGCTTTTAACTACTTAAGACCTAATTTTGGAATAATCATTTTATTACGTTAGACTTTCCACAATACACCACATAGAGCCATTCTAAAATAATCCAATTTATATGGTAACGAAAACATAAATTCATCAAACAATTTTTAACTGGATTATGTACATCAATCATAATTTCATTTCTATTTCATCGAAACATAATGCACTCATGATTGACAACAAAATACATGTATATATACTGAACAAACCCAATCCTGAAGTCCAACATGGTCAACAACCTCTAGCAATCTGATCTACTCAACTTGGGCTTTATCTTTTTCTAAAAATATTTACAAATACAAAGAATGAGCAATCACATGCTTAGTAGGTCATCCAAAACCTACTATTATAGGATTCAATACAATTACATAAGGAACAACAATTATATTAATTTACAACACATGAATAATATGTCATATTTGGAAGTAGATCATCCAAATGTTTGTATTGTATAGTATTTAACAACTTTGTATCATTATCAAATAGATGTTGTGGATATGGATGTATAATAATAATAGCGTAGGCATCACTTGAACAAGACTTCAGAACAAGAATAACATTTTACAGTATCACATTGACATGACTGCATGATATAAGTATTTCACAGAATATGATATTATAATATAAACAACATAACATAAAGTAGCACATAACATAACGTTTACATTTTCTGATTCCTCCTTGTACCTTCATTTGATCATTTCTCATTTGTATAATCAAGATGGAGGAATTACATACATTTTAATTCCCCTTATAACTCTGCTTTCACTTATTCCTCCGCTTAGTCATCTCATATCCGTTCAAGATACATGAAATAATACACACACACACACACACACACACACACAGGAGTGTAAGGGCCCTTATAATTGCACTTTGATTCCACATAAAAATCTACCTCTGTAACAACCTGTGGGCTCCGAAAATTCGGCCCCGACCTCCCCGCCACGCATGACTGTTTATGCTTTTTTCTTTTGCGAGGGAGTTTTAATGGATTAAGTTTCGGGGTAAATTTTGGGAAGGCAGATGGATTTGTAGATAAGACACTATTCAGAGATTTCGCCCTCTTTTTGTGAGGACTTTAAAATCTGAGTTCTGGTTTCCTATAGGCGCAAGCCCATATAGTTAATTACCCCTCTCAATCATGAGAGAAAACTTTCGATTAAGGCTAGTCGTCAATCAGATATGTAGAAAATACGTGTTATCTGGCATATAGTAGCAACGATGGGTTTGGAATTTGGAAAATGGGGTTGGATGTTTGGAAAAATTGATATTTAAAATAGAAATTACACCATCTTGCACTTAAAGCGGATGGTGGGAGAATGGATGATGGGCTCGATCAAGATCCCATGTTTCCGTCGTCCCGGGCCATCATGGTCCCTGGTCTACTTAGTCAGAGAAGGTAGTCGACCCAACCTGACAGAAGGATCCTTGTCGGCAGCCATGGGTTGCTTCGTCTAAGGGTACCTTGTAGACATGGGGTGAATATTTGTCTAAAGGAACAAATTTGAATCCACCTTAGCGAACAGAGGGCTTTATGCCCTATCGATCATATCCTATTGATTCATATCTAAAGGATTTGATGCCACTAAGGAGCATATTGCTTTGGCCATAATCAGTATTTCGTGGAGCCATTTGGCGGCAAAATCACTCGGTTCAGAGGGCCCTGGGTCATAACCGTTTATCCTGCGGTGCCATTTGGCGGCGAAACCGCCGGTTAGAGGACACGTACCACGTCCTTACTAGCAGGAGATTATTTGAGAATGGATCATAGTGATATTTTTGACTAGGCATTAGCTCTTTGTGAGCTGAAGTTTATATTTGAATTTGTCCACCTTGACAAACTATTGCGGAGGGTGGATGGATTTTGCTTTAAGTATGGATAGATAATTTCAATTTTAAATATCTTGAAGTTTGGGATGGAATTTGAAAATTTTGGATTTTGGACTTTTGGGAGGCATTTGAAACTATTTGTGAATGGACCCCTCCGATTGAGATTAGCATTCAAACACGGCCATCATCGGGGTGTTCGGGGTCATTTCTCTTTATTGATTGAACCCTGTCAACTCGACCAAGCTATTGATCGAGGATCGGGTTTCTCGTAGGCTTTGTGCCTTTGTTTAAAAATTAAGGACTTGAAGGCCTAATATGAATGCTTAAAATAAATTTCTCGGTCGATTTCGTGACCGCATATTTATCCGATGGTTCGAACCCTGTTTAATCCTATTTACTTGCTTAGGAGGATCGGGTTTCGCAGGCTTTATGTCTTTGTTAGTGAATTATTTTGATTATAGGCATTGAAGGCCTAATATGAATGTAGAAAAATAAATATACCGGTCCCCACAACCGTGTATTTGTTTGAAGGTTCGAATCCTGTCGACTCCTATTGATCCATAGAGAAGGATCATGTTCGAACCCGAATTCACTTGTTGACCCGTGCAACATCTTTAGACATCACGTGTATACCAGTAACATGCTCGTCGGGGCCCATGCGGGTGATTTTAATATACCCCTTTAGTGTACTTATGTGTATACAAACTACGGTGCATGTACGGGGGTTCTTTGAAATAGTTGTAGTTGTACAGGCAACTGTCATTTGAGTGTACAACATTTTATTTGAGAGCTTATATACGCCTTCTATCCGTTAGTACGAGTGTTGTGGATCCGGTGGCAATGTGTTGTAGATTGTTGACGCATTCTGTCTGCTAGCATAAGTGTTGTA